CTCTTACTTTTTTTCTCGTTCGCTCTTCAATTTTGCGCTTTCTCCATCTTTCCTCATCGCCTGTTCTCCCTCTCTCTCCCTCTTTCCTGTTTCCTGTTTCCTGTTTCCTCTTCAGCTCTGGCTCCCTGGTCTGGTTCCTTGGTTCAGGCTTCCTTCTTCCAACTCCACACCTCCCTCCCAGGATGACCTTCTCCTCCTTGGCTCACCTTGTAACTCTCGGCTGACAGATCTCAAATTCACGTTCAGCACTGGCCTCTCCCAGAGCTGCAGTTGCCATATCTAACTGTCCAGGGAACACCTTCCTAAACATGTCCCGTGCTGGCCTGGGCCTTTCCTCCTACATTCTCCCTCACCCCAGTAAAGAGAGAATTAGTGGTTCCCCTGGCAGAAAACCTGGAGGCTTCCTTGAGTATCTTAAACGCTCCACTTAATATCCATCAGTCTTTGGAATTCGACAATTAAGCATGGGATGCATTGTGCCTCATCTGTTTCTTGGTTTGGTTTTCCCTGTTCATTTTCCTGAACCATTGCAATAGCATCACAGCCTGCTTCTTTTCTAGTTCCTGGTTAGTTCTTCATTGAAATCTGTGCCAGATTTACAGATACAAGTCAGATCCCCCATCCCACTTGTATTCTTACAAGCGTTCTCTGGCTTCCCATGACCCATTGATGAAAATCTATAGGCTACCTCACATGGCATTCAGTTGTTACATGTGGTCTGGTCTTTGTGGCCTCAGGTCACCCACCACGCACTTAAGTTCTACAATTCACCTCTCATCTCCCCTACCTTCAAAGATTCTGTATCTCTGCCTAAAGGTCCATTTCCTTATTTCTCACATTCATTGAACAAGACTCAGGTATCAACTCTAGTTTTTTTTTTTTTTTTAGCATATACACATAAGAATTCTACAAACATTTTGTCCCTTTGCTAAAATTGTAAGTCTGAAACTTAAAGAAGACGGTAAGTAATAAATTAAATAAATCATTCATTTGTTTGGCATTGATTTTAATAAGTAACTATGTATGTCAGCCACCATGCAGGGCCATAGGAAGACAAATGTGAATAAGATCAGTCTTTGCCCCTGAAGGAGTTACAGTGTAGTTCAGGTAATGAGTACAGAGAAATGCATTATTCTAGTGCAAACTCCTGATGCAGTTTGTCCATCCTTTTGTCCACATGGATGATAGAAACAGTATTTCCTTTTCAAGGTAAAATGTGAACTACGTGTTTACCAAAGGGATCTTTCCTTTGCTAGGTCTCAGGAACAATCTCAGATTCAATGACTGCTTGTGTTATTTTTAAAATCACGATATAAGAAGAGTTTTGCAGAACCAGTTTTCCTTTTTCCTCTTCCCTACCACCACTTTCTTAATGGGCTTTTCTTGTTCCCTATAAAAACAACAAACATGCTTTCATTAGATATGTTTTATTGTTATATGGTGACATCTAGGACACAGTAAATGATAGAAATAACAGAATCCACCAAGTGTGATGGTTATGAGTGTCACCTTGACTGGATGAAGAGAATTGATGAATCATTACTTATAGGTGTCTCTAGAGAAGATTGGCACAGGGGTCAGAGAAGGAGTGGACTCCATCCCTCCATCTGCAGGGGCATCATTCAATAGGCTAGGGCCCTGGATAGAAAGCAGAGACAGGGCAAAAATACAACTTCTCTCTCTCTCTGGCTCTTCCTCCCAGAGCAGGTGCATTTTCTGCTGCATGTCCTTGGACATCAGACCCCAGGTTCTTTGACCTGTGGACTTGGGATTTGCATAAGGAGCCTTCCTTGGGCTGCTATGCTTTTGGT